TAATAATAATAATAATAATAATAATGATAAAAATAATAATAATAACAATACAGCAGTGACAACAGTAACAACTGTTAAAATAACAATACAATTCTACGAAATAGATTTCAACGGTACCACAACAACAACAACAACAACAACAACAACAGAAACAACAACAACAACAACAGCTACAACAACAGCAACAACAACAGCAACAGCAACAACAATGACGATGTACACATAGGACGAATTTCTCCATCGATATATATATAAACTTAGATTATGTACAGTAGTCTCGTAATGTGAGGTTTGCATTGACACCATCTGCCAAAAGTTAGCATAAATGACGCAGATCCTGTTCGCTTGGTTCATTTCCTAGCTTTCAGTCAAATAGTGTCGTATGTCATAATGTAAGGTTTTCAAGAAAAAAAAAATCTGTTTTATCTCTTCTCAGGCAGAGCGTTATCGTAATACAGTAAAGTTAATTCGTCTAAATCCGTTACCACTGTAAGAGCAAAAATAAGACAAGGACCAACCCGTGTGCCTTATCATACTCTACAACATACATGGTTTTCTTTCTCATTATAAAAAAAAAAAAAATCATAATTATGACATACGACAATTTTAAACGACAGCGAAGATTTACTCTTCTACAACTCCCCATGTTTTGATCACTCAGAGAGCAAAGGTTCCTTTATGACTAGGTGGGAAAAGGGTTATGTTGCTAGCTAGCCAAGCAAACGTCTGCAAACCAAGCCAAATGTCTGCTTGCAGAGCAGAAGTTTGGTTTCTAGCCGTGCAAAGGTATTTATCGCTTGCCAAGGCTCTATCACCTATCGTGCAAGGGTTAGAGGTTCGACGGTTAGATGAGGTCACGTAAGATTGTCAGTCGAGCTAAGAGGTCTTGATTGTTAGATAGCAGAATGATGGGTTGAACGCTTTGTGAAAACGTGATAACTACATCCCGTATGAAACGTAACTCGTCAAAGAACAATATTATCTGTTAAATGATTGGTTTGATGAAACGTGGGTGGGCAAAAATAAAAGACGGAAAAAAGAAAAACATTAACGAAAAACATTAACGTTTACAGAGGAGGTCGCACATAGAAAAGACAAAATTGAAATTAATCGAAACAAGTAGGTCTATAATTAGGTAAGTAGTTACAAAGGGAGGTGGATGGGTAGGTAGGTGAGTAGGTAGGTAGGTAGGTAGGTGGGTAGGTATGTGGGTAGGTGAGTAGGCATGTGGGTAGGCAGCTAGGTAGTTAGGTAGCTTGGTAGGCACATGTATGTAAGTAGGTAGGTAGGTATGTAGATAGATGGTTAGGTAGGTAGGTAGGTTGAGAAAGAAAAATTAATAAAGTCATAGAGAAAGGGAGATATAAAAATAAGAAGGAAAGTAGGTTCATAGACACCTGGAGCAGAAATTAAAAGAATTTAACCACAGCCATCGAACCTATTGAAAATGACCATCACAACTTGGTGCATACAGTCTAGCATGTACATAGTGAAATTAGGGCAGGGCGCAGAAATCTATTACGCTATTTACGAATTTAGCTACATATGTCTTTCAAACATAAATAACATAATCAGGACCCTGAAGTTTGTTCGTTTGGTGTGTATGTGTGTGTGTGTGTGTATATGTGTGTGTGTGTGTGTATGTGTGTGTGTGTGAGTATGTGTGCTAACAGCATGCTAGACTGTATATCTAAATACGTCCTGCAATGTTTCAATGACGTTCAGAAATCAATGAGAACTTTCCACAATATATTGAAAGCTGTGTTTAAATTCCTATGCAAAGGGAGGGGGGAGAGACAGAATGTCCACCACTACTTACAAACAAACAAAAAAATAACAACAGACAACAGTCTGCTAAAGAGAATCAAGAATTAACTAATTTCCCAAAATAGAATCAATAAATAACTGTTGAATTTTTCCTTTTTTTTTTCATCACATTGTATAACATACATCGTTGTGCTATCTAGAACAGTTGACAAGCCAGTAAAATCTAAGGCTAACACAATAAATACCAAATTAGAAAAAAAAAAAAGTACGCTCACACGCCCAGTCCTTAACGAAAGAACACTTTGGAAATCCCGAAACGATGAAGGAACGGAACTTTTGTAGATGTTGCTAATTTTCTTCCAGATAAAAGGGCCAGTGACACTATCCAAAACGTGCATTTTCCGGAATTCCTAGTAGGGTACTTGATTCTTGACAATATCCCAGGCGTAGAACGTGGAGTGTGACCTTAGCTCTTCTGTCGGTGGATGAAGTGAACTACCTTGACCGTGACCCGGTTTCCTTTAGCAGATATCAATGAAGTGACCTTGAACCGTTGTTCTGTAGCTGACGTTGTTGACCTTGACATTTAGCCTTTTAGCCTCGTCGTCTTGGCGTGGAGGGAGGGAGGAGGAGATTTTGTTTCTCTTTCCATCACAGAAATGAAGTAGTAGGATTAAAGGAACGAAGCGTGGGAATCAGAAATCTGGCGTCACAGAAAACAGGTGATGTTAATGCAAACCTCACCCTCCAGTCAACTAAGCTCCAAGTAGAAATACATGACCCAGTAACACAGGTTGAAGAGGCCAAAGGTCAGGGGGAACAGAAGGCGGGCCACCATGTCGATGTTACTGACGCTGTTCCCGGACTCCGCGTCGGCCGAGTTGACTTTCTGCATCCGGTAATCGGAGCTGCCCACCAGGCATCGCCAGAAGGCTTGCAGGCAGATTCTAACTCCTACGTGGTATCGATATGTGGAGTAAACATAGAGTATGCGTGTTAGAGATGATGGTGATTGTCAGTAGTGAGGGATAAGAGCTCAATTTTTACTTTGGGTTTTGTTGTTTTTGTTATTGTTGTTGTTGTTGTTGTTGTTGTAGTTGTTGTTGTTGTTGTTGTTGATGATGATGATGATGATGATGATGATGATGATGATGATGATGATGATGATGGTGTTGTTGTTGTTGTTGATGATGATGTTGCTGTTGCTGTTATTGTTGTTGCTTAGAAAACAAAAGAACATATAATATGAAAAACGACCTGAAAGCTATTCTGAAATGATACCACTGGAAAAATGACAATTTTATGACCGAGTCCTCATCGTAATATAGAGATTAAATTGACATAAAATGTACAATGAGCTGGAGATGATTAAGTTTTATTTTGTTTTTTTTTCTAAGATTATTGTTTCTTTGGAATAAAGAAAATAAGATAGATACATTATACAAAAACCATCCTTATCACATTCAGCATCCTCGGCATTTCCACCACTTTCACCATCCCCATTTAAACCATCCCCACCACCACCATCAGTACACCTATCACCACGTATCTTTTTAATTCCCTCATTCTCTCCACCACTCCCATCTTCACCTATCATCTTACGCTGTCACCACCGCCATCATAACCATCTTCACCACCACCACCACCACCACCACCACACATCACCATGCGTTGTCGTCATATCATCATCATCATCATCATCATCATCATCATCATCATCATCATCATCATCATCATCATCATCATCATCATCATCATCATCTCTCTCTCTCTCTCTCTCTCTCTCCCTCTCTCTCTCTCCCTCTCTCTCTTTATCTATCTGTCTATCTATCTGTTTCACTCCCTCTCACGCTCTCACTCTCTCACCATCTTGATTGCTCCTCCACTGGGCTTGGATTGACCCCTTGACCTCCGGGTCAGGAGGGCAGTGGTTCAACTTGAGCAAGGCCTCTCGCTCCGGAAGTGGTAGGGCCTCCTCATTCACTAGGACCACTTTCCGGTTGGTGAATGTGTTGCCCTGTTGGAAGCAGAAATCATTCGTCAACATACCACACATTTCATTTCAACCATTCCATTATCACATATTAATAATAATATTAATAATAATAATATTAATAATAATAATAATAATAATAATAATAATAATAATAATAATAATAATAATACTAAAATAGCATTTGTGTAGCCCATGCCCCCACTCAAAAGCAAGCTCTGGGCGCTTTACACTATATCATTCCCTCAGCAGACCATAGAACACTCAGAAACATTCCCAACTTCCGGGGGAGCCTACAGTGCAAGCAGCCGGTTAAGCGCTCAAACACGAACAAATTGAGAAGATCTTTCACTGTCTATAGCTAGGCACCCATTCCCACCTTGTGGGCACGGGTAGTCTGCTGTTGGACTTGTGGGGGAGGCAGGTCTAGACTTGCGAGCTTTGCGCTCTTGTTTGAATTAAGCGATGCGCTTGGCTTCTCCTGCTTTGGCTCCCTTCATTGGAATGCAGCACCACGCGGGACAGTCTAGGGCCAGCATTTCCCACGAGTCGTTCAGGATTCCAAGTTCCTTTAGTGAGGCTTTGAGGCAGTCCTTGAAACGTTTTTTCTGCCCTCCAATTGAGCGCTTGCCATAAAGCAGCTCTCCATACATCAGCTGTTTGGGCAACCGGCTGTCCGCCATTTTGATCACGTGGCTGGCACATCTGGCTCGCGTTTTGTGGAGGATGGTGTAGATGCTGAGGGTGTCGGCTTGCTCTAAAATAGCAGTGTCTAGGGCTTTGTCCTGCCATTTAGGTAGGTAAAGTGGTCAGCTGCTTCTGTCCCTTCACCATGATTTGTGGCACTGTGTATGGTTGTCCGGGGGCTGGTTGGTATATGACTTCGGTTTTCTTGGTATTGATAGTGAGGCCGAAGTTGTCACAGGCTAAGGCCAAACGGCTCATTTCGTTTTGCATACACTCTTCTGTGCTAGCGTTGAGTGCACAGTCATCGGCGAAGAGAAGTTCCCTAATGACTGTTTTTCTCACCTGGGAAACGGCCTGGAAGCGCCTGATGTTGAGCAGCCTGCCTTCGGTTCTGTACCTGATACAGATGCCATCTTCACTGTTGTAGAAAGCATCTGTTAACATGGCAGAGAATACCATACTGAAAACAGTTGGGTCAAGGACGCACCCTTGTTTAACGCCATTGGTCACAGGGAATGTGTCTGACTCATCTCCGTCCCCTACCACCTTCACCATCATACCATCGTGAAGCTGTCTGACGATGGTGATGAATTTACTTAGGCATCCATACTTCTCCATGATCCGTCTCTGCTGACAGTGTCGAAGGCCTTCATTAGATCCACAAAGGCCACGAATAAGTTGCAGTGCTTCTCCTGGCATTTTTCCTGGAGTTGGCGGGCGGCGAAGATCATGTCTCCAGGTCCTCGTTTGGCCCGGAAAGACATAGTCGAGACGACTGGGGAAAGGTCAGGATGCAGTGGATGGTCAGCAGTGTCTTTTGTGCCTCACTGTGCCTTATGCTGCGCTCCACAGCTCTTTGCTGGGTCCCCCTTTTCCACCCATTGAACCCTGACGGTTTCTACCGCGCAGTCCACCGGAGCCAGTGTTTGTGTGCTAGGGGTAGATATTCCCCGCTCGAAGGCTTACTCAAGTAGTTTAGCCGGTCAGTCAAAACCGTTGCCCGGGATGTGGCCACTGTCGTACACTAGCAGTATCCGTGGAGCCATACGTGAGCTAGGTGCAGAAGTGGGGACCAAGTAGGGTCGTGATCATCCATACATGATGTGACTGCCATTCACAGTGAGGTAATACCTCTCACGCTGAATCCAACGCCCCAATTAGCCTAACTACATACTAATCAATGGGTGTAGCGTAGCATCAACCCAGTCAACCAACCAACCAACAAACTAACCAACCAACCATCCAACCAATCAACCACCCAAACAATCAATTAATCCATCAATGAACCAAACAATCACCGATACCTCCTCCTCCCCCTCCTCCTCCTCGTCCGTCCCTCCCTCCTTGGGCAGTAGTTTGGTGAAGTAGTTGACGGCCGCGTACTCTATGAGGGCTGCCATCTCGTAGACCACACACACGTTGAGGAACACGTCCAGAGCTGTGGCGTACGGCACGCGGGGCAAACCCTCTCTCACCGTCATGCCGATAGCAGCGGTGCTCAAGATGGTGGTCACACCTACAGAGAGAGATAGGGTTTGGGGAGAATGATTCTAATAATTAATTAATTTTGGTCATCGTTATCGGTTTCGTTGTTCTCAGTATCATCATCACCATCACTATCTTCTTCTACTTCATAATCATCCTCATTATCCTTATTGTGTACAGTAGAGAATAAAAAATGGTTGAGACTTGGCAAAATTTTCAAAATTATTTTGATAACACGTTCAACGTTTTGCCCGACTCGCACTTCATCGGGAACATTATAAAAATATTAGATCTAATAACCACATTAGCTATAGAAACCAAAGTGTGCACTTCTACATCACAATGCTAAAAAGTGCGATAAACACAAATTGGAAATGTCATCATCATCATCATCATCATCATCATCATCATCATCATCATCATCATCATCATTATCACCATCATCAGCAGTAGCAGCAGCAGCAGCAGCTACAACAACAACAACAGCAGCAGTGCAAACAGCACAAACACCAGCAGCATCGTCACAATTGTAATCATTATCCCAACCATGACAGTAATTTAAAAAAATATTATAACAGTCAAGAGAATACTAATAATAATCATCACAAGAATGATAACCATAATCATAATGTTGTGTCCTATACCTGTAAGGCACAAGAGAAAATTATATTCAAAATGGGGAGCTGTAATCAAGATTTAATATAAAATCATTGTTATACACATCTGTATATTATCATATTTGTACTGGCTCGTCACAGTGGTCGCCTAAAACTTCCGAACCACTTAACTTTCAAAACTGAAAAAATTAACGGTGGTTCAGAATCATTTAAAGGGTGCACAAATATCTATGAGTCTGAAGTCACTGTTGTTTAGTTTTCAGTTTTTCCTTACTTTCGTTTAGATCTAGTCTTGGGAACATCCATCTTCTCAGACGCCATGTAAACGAGTGAGGCTTCACAAGCAGTGCGCGCTGGTTCCACAATGACTTGACAATCGATTCTTTTGAGTCCATTCATCGAACGTGTACCCAGCTAGTTATTTTATAATTCCACCTTAATATTGAAATATCCCATTCTCACAGTCGACGATTATCTTATAGATTAAAGTCATAAACGCCCTCTGGTGTTTTGTGTAGCGCAAATGTTGACGGTCATGGTAGCCCCCACTCTTTCCCTTTTTCTGTCTTTCTGATTGGCACATTTTTCCCTTGTTTTTTGCTTTGTTTAGTAAAACGTTTAGACCATTTATGGATATTGTTCTATGACTTCCTCTGCTCCTCCTTCCCTCCATTTTCCTCACAGCAGCAGTTTCTCTTGTCCATTTGATCTATTTATATATGGCCAGAGTACCGTATCTCAATTGTTTCTTTCTGATAATTTTATTTATAGATCTTTCAGAACCTCAAAATGGCAGGTCATAAATGACCAGAAGACAAGTACAGAACAAACAAACAAACAAACAAAGAAGAAGAAGAAGAAGAAGAAGAAGAAGAAGAAGAAGAAGAAGAAGAAGAAGAAGAAGAAGAAG